TCATTTGGACATGAAATCCAACAAAAGCCTACCTGAGTGCAATCCCAGCATTTCTTAGTGTCCTGTCTCCAGTGCCCTGGCCCCTCTCACCTTTCTAGGTGCTGATGGTCCTTTCCCTTGTTTATACGAGGAAGGGAGAGGCGGACACGACACCTTCCACTTGGTATTTGAATCAGGAATTGGAGCCTCTCTGTACCCCTCAAAGGGACAGAGAGAGAAGAGGAGGAAAACGTGGAAGTGGATGATGTCTGTGCCGCAAAGGACAGTAAAGACCGCTGGACGCTGGGAGCTGGTACTTCATGCCTACAATCCCAGCTACTCAGCAGGCTGAGATCTGAGCACCGCAGCTCAAAGGCAGCCAGGCAGGAAACACAAGGAGACTCTTATCTCCAATCAACCAACTACTCAGATAAAGCCAGAAGGGGTGCTGTGGCTCAAGTGGTAGAGCACTAGCCTTGAGTATAAAGAGGCTCAGGGACAGAGTCCGGGCCCTGAGTTAAAGCCCCAGGACCAGCAAAAAACAAACAATAACAACAACAACAAAACCAAACTGCTGAAGCTGCCTTCTGCCCTGCAGCTTCTGGGGCCGCTGCCCTCCCCTCCTCCTCTCCTCAGTCGAGCTGGCCAACTGGCACTGTGGGGAAGAACAGGACGCCACCTTGCTTTCCTGTGGTTGGCCTTCTTCTTGCCTTCACACCTGTCAGCTTGATCTCACACCTAGACGTGGCTCTGCCTGGAGGGATGAGGAGGCAGCTCCCTCCTGCCCACCCTTCTTCCTCCGGATATCCCACTGCCCAGACCTCCTCCATTCCTATCCTCCTCCCTCCTAGTCCTGACTCTCGATGTTCCCCACCTGCCCCATCCTGCCCCTTGTCTCCCTTCGCTCTTTGTGGGCACTCACAACCACAGTCATACTTTAGCCCATGTCTCCGTGTGTCTCTGCCCACTCTATAAGTAGCCCAGAACCCTCTGCTGATTCATCACGCTGGGTATCTGGCTAGCCAGGGGTTGTCTGCACTCAGATGCCCCACAAACATCTCGCATCACGTACCCACACGTGAGTCCCCGCTCCCCCTGCCGCCTCCCCGACCATGGAGCAGGGTCCTTCTCTTTTCCATGGCTCCATCACTATCCAGTCACTGATCCAGCAATCTGGATCCGGCCCCAATTCCTTTCCCTGTGTGAGCAATCATGGACTTCTTGAGGTTTCTGGTTCCTGATTTCTTCCTCAGTGAAATTTCTGCTGACCTCGGAGGACGTAGGCTCCTGTCTTGTAGGGTCAAATCCAGTCTGCAGTGGCACTGCACTGTCCTATACTGGAGACACAAAATGATCAGCCTAACTTTTGTTAGGGGACTGCCAGGCTGTAATAACAGTGAAACTCTCGGTATCATTAGATTAACAAAGAAACGAGGCCGTGGTGCAGTGCTGAGGCGGAGCTGTGGCCAGGCACATGTGCTGAGGATTGGACCCTGATAGCCACGGAAAAGCCAGAGGCTCCGAGGCCCCAGTGGGGTATGACGGGTGCAGAGGCCATGGGTGAGGAAGGGTTGTTGCCTCCACACTCAACTGGCGGGCATAAGGTTTGATCATAAGGCAGGTTCAGTGAAGAAATGAATTCTGGGGTTGGGGGCCAAACTCCTCATGACATTGGTCCTACTGAACTGAGCTCTCAGATTAAAGCACTCTACAAGGTTGCAGTTGGGTTTTTCCTTAGCTTAACTCTCCCATCTTGTGTCCAAAAGGCAAATGGATCCAACAGCAGCAATACTTTTGAAGCTGAGGAGATTCCTGCATTGATTACGACTGTATGCTTAACACTCTAGGCATCATCAAGCAACATAGCACCTTGTATGTCCCACTATCCCATGTCTGTTTATGGCGGTGGGCAGTTTATTCTCACAGGGGACCCAAGGCACTTTGTGATCCCTCCCTCCTTTACTCCCCCTCCCTCCCCCTCTTTTTCTCTCGCCCCTCCCCCTCTGATGATGATGATGATGAATCAATATTCATCATCCCATTTACAGAAAATAACTCTAACATTCTGGTTTCAAGATTGGTTTTGAGGACAGAGCGTGTTCTGGAAAGCAGCTGTTCTCTGTGGGTAAGGGAGGACTGCTTTGACAGGGAGAATTACCGTTGATTCATAGTTTGGGCTTGTTACAAGTTTTCATCTCCAATATAGGTGGGGGTTTTCCCTCCTCAAAGAATATGGCCACACAGGAAGAGTTAGAGTCGGGCAGACGGAGCATGCGCCTCGGTGGTGTGATTGCTGGGCTGAGCAGGTTAGATCGAAGGGAGGGCAGGTGTGGCTGCAGGACATCACCTCACAGAGCAGCAAACTGCTGACCTTAGGAGGGCTTTGTTGTCTCCTAGTTAGTGGCATTTGAATAATCAAAAAACATTTCCTATAAACGTATGACAAAGAGTGGGACTTGAACACCAAGTTGAAGAGTCTGCGCTCAGACTTCCTGGAAAGCAGAGGGGACTTTCCTATCTGCTCTTACAAATTCTCACTTTCTGGTATAAAAGGCCTAAGCACCTGGAGTACAGTCTGCGGAGCTGTTTGTGGTTTTTTATTCAACTATAACCAAATATCTTTGTGAACCTCTTCGTGTTTCACAGAGCTAGCTTGGCAGGTTCCCCTCATGGGGAATGAGCCGACGGGAGAGATCTGGCTCCCTGAGCCATGGCCTGTGCGGTTCATAGCTACAGCGGGGCAGAGAAAACACACAGCAACGCTCTGCACTGGCCCTGGAGACAGGTGCTGTAAGGAAAATACTCTTCAGAAGTTTCAAAAACACAATGAACGCAGCACCAAGATCATCAAAGGGGCCGCTTGGCACTCAGGTGCTTTGCCAAATTGCCTTCGAGCTCTGGCCTCACATTCCTCTGTGATGGTGTTCAGGAGCCAGACATCCGGGCACCTCTGGACGGGCCCCGCTGCCTCTGCCTCCAGGTGACTGGGTAGAAACCAGCCAGTGTGTTGCAGTGCTGGGCTGTCCACACATGGACACCTCGTGTGCAGACTGCCCTTGTGCTTCGGGGCAGAAAGGGTGGGGTGTACCCCGAACCTCCCTGGGTGTCCTGTGTAGAACCTGGGAGGACAGAGGAAACCCTGTTGAATTCTGCTCCCGTGCGAGGACAGCCTTTCATTTTGATTCATTAGTCCTTCTTTCATAAAGGATGTAGAAAAGCCACATTGGGAAATGCCGAGAGATAAACCAGAATAAATGTGTACACTAAGCCTTACTCCAGCCTTTCCGTTTTAATCATTCCAGACAAAAACATGCCCTGGTCTCATAAAAACTTAGAATGTAATTACTGGCTTTGTGACATCTTTGTTTTAATTGGGACTTGTTTATCACAATAATAGGACTATTCTTAAAGTCTCTTGAACAACAACAGCAAAAAGTACTGCGTATGAGAAGGTCACCAGACACTTAATTACTGGGGAAAAAATGGATTTCACAAAATATTGGAATCAGGTATTCAAAAGTTTCAGAACCCTACTCCTCCCTCTCTCTCTCTCTCTCTCCCTCCCCCTCCCCCCTCCCCCTTCCCCTCCCCCTCCCCCTCCCTCTTCCTCTCCTTCTCCCCCTCCCTCCTCTTCCCCCTCCCTATCCCCTCCTGGCCTCTCCCTTGCTATCAGTTTTGCCCCTCCTTCCTCTCACAGACCTGCCCTCTCTGCCTCTAGAGGTACATGGCTAAGAATGGCTCCCCTAGAGGCCACCTTCCCCATCTCATTTCAGATGCTCGTGAATATAACTGAGTCGGTCTTGCTTCAGTTGTAGATTACCCGAAGAGCATTTAAAAGTTCAGTTTGAGTCAGATGTCCAGCTTGATCCAGTCTATTGGAGGTGGGGAAATGTCATATTCTAGATTTTACTTAGAAATGTGCAGACTCTTGGAAAAATCAGTGGCAGACATGGTGAATGCAAGTTCACTGAACTCTCAGTTACATAGGTCCTCTAGAGTCGATGTGGAAACACTAGAAAACAGACACGAGCAAAGTAAAGAGCAAAAATGCTTCTTCACCCCACCACTAGAAAACTTCAACATCTCAGTGTGTTCTCATAGATGTTTTATTTGCTTTAAACTATCTTTTTATTTCTATATTCATCTGGATTATACTAAGGACATGATATAGTGATTAACAAGACAAGTCTCTCCCTAGAGCTTATTTTATAACACAAGAGACACTTAAAATTTGGAAGCTAAGTAATAAAAGTTTTGGAAATTACAATAAGTACTAGAAACAAAATAGCCAAGAGCTTGTGATGGAAAACAGCAGGGGAAATGTTCTTTAGATGAGGCGGTCATGAAAAATGTCCACTAGAGCCACCTTTGGGTTGATGTAAGGAGAAGGAGGAGGAAGAATTCAGAGGAGGAAGTGTATACACGCGCTGGGCAGGGAACAATACACACAAAAGATGTGAAGCCAAATCATCACACACGTGTTAAATCAAAGCACGTGTTAAAACAAAGAAACAGCAAATGTGTTGTGCTGAGCTTGGTGGCAGAGATGACGGGTGTGGCGTGAGGTTCTCAGAGCGCAGTTGGAGGACACACAGCAGCTCGCTGTGCCTAGAGCAGACAGGAGCCGCCCACAGGCGAGGAGTGGGGGCAGGGAGAAGGAGCGTGGTGGGCAGGACCTGCGTCCCACGCACGCCCTTGCCAGCTCTGTGGCAGAGCCGGAGCACCACCGCCCACCAAAGGGCGGCTGTGTTTTCTGCTAGTTTCTGAACAGACGGAGCACATTAGTGGCCGCCTTCAAACCCCAAATGAACGATGTGAGCACGCCCTCTCTAACATGTGGGTTTGCCGGCACTCACCCTGGGCGCCGCTTTGAGGTGAGTCCCATTCTCACAGCGACGAGATCCCTGCACATCCATGCCGGCTGTCTCTCCACGACCGCTCAGCTCTCCTCAGCTCCCTTCCGTAGCCCTGCAAATGGACAGAGATGGCAAAGCATCAGCTGTGTGTCGTATAAAGGAAACATGGTTCATGGCCACAAGCGGAGAAGCAGTGCACCGTGCGCTGACTCATTGAAGGCCCCAGACCTGGGACTGCCCAGGCAGGCAGCCTTCCCTAGCGAGGGCAGAGGGGACACAGACCTGAACCAGTTACCAAGAACCAAAGAGCCCAAGTCAGTAAAGCAAGGAAAGAAGAGGAGGGAAAGCAGGGTGGACCATGAACTGGGGCCTTGCAGAGGCTTTCCAGCCCAGGCCTGTGCTCAAGGGGACAGAGAGCCGCTTGATTAATGACACTTAATGCGTCCTGCATCCTGCCAAGGACAACACTGAAATTTCAAGAGAACTACCAGCACTATAGACATCACGCTTACTTTGGACTCCTTTAGATATATTTTGGGCAAAACTGAGTCATGGTTGAAGTGTTTCATGCGCAAAGCAGTTAGGTTGCTGTTTTGTTCAGGCTTTGGTAGAATATTATGTTCTTTTCCGTGTTAAACACAGGGGTTGGTCTTGAACAGCCCCAGCCCTGGCCTTGCATGCCCGCAGCAGGAGGGTCACGCCAGTGCGCATCACGCAGTGCCCTGCAGGGGTGCTGTCCAAGTAGGAGACAGCATGCAAGCTCAACTGGGAACTTTTCAATTTATGTAGACATTCCGTGCTTGCTGGACAACATGAGGAGAGTATCAGAATGTCTGAGCTGTACTTGGTTGTGAGAGAGTCTGAATTCCTTTCCTGCTTTCCCAGGTCTGGTGCTTCCTACAAAACCGCAATTCCACAGACATCTCTGCAGAGCAAGCATCGCACAGAACTATTGCTTTCTGCTTTGATTTCAGATTGACTGGAAAATCCTTTTTTTGTTGTTGTTGTTCTAACATGTATGAAGAGCAATGCTTGTTATTATCAGTGCGCAGTAATTGGATAAGTGAATGTGTTTCACTGCGGCATTTCCAAATACTTACGTGTTTATGCTTTGAGCATGTCCCCCCTCCCCTCTGTAGAAGAGTAGTATTTAAGCAATGTTCTAGATTCTTTTTTTTTAATCATCCCCTGCTCCTAGCACTAACTATGTGCAGGCACATTTATCAAATGTACGGTTGATACTAAGTAGATAAGTGTGTGAACAAATTCCAACTTTACCAATGAGGAGATGGCATGGTTTTGCGATTTTCATTTTGTCTGTTTCTGGCCTGGCGCATAGGCCAGCCAGGATGGCAGAGGGAAGGATCTGTCCGTCAAACTCAGGGTCAGGTCCACCTCCTGTGGGCAGGAAGCTACCAGCAATGGGCTCTGCACCAAGCCTGGAAGGTTGCTGGGCCTCTGTGTGCCCCACTAAAGCCCGGAGGCCTGGCTGTGGAGGGGGATGACGTGGTCATGTTCACAGGAGAGATGGAAGCCGCGCTTGAAACCGTCTGAGCACTCTCTGTAGGGCCATAGCCTCCCATTCACCTTCACGAGGTTGCCTGTCACCCTCTCCAAGGTGATGCTGCCCTAATTCCCCCTTACACACTCCCACCCTGTCCAATGAGGTGCTGCAGGTGATGGGAAACCTGGGACGTTTTCCAGGAGAAAGGGCTGGAAGTGTTAGCACTGAGCAGATGAGGACGCTGGATCCCTTTGTCTTCTCTGCAGCGATGAGTGAGCGTCTGAGGCAAACTTCATCTTTTAGTTAATCTTCTACATGCCGGACATGAAAGCCAAGGGAGAGGGGAAAGCTAAGGCATATAAGGAATATGAGGTGTCTTGAGGGTTCTTACATGGATCCAGAATTCGTAGTGATCTAGCTCCTCTATCCCTCTCTGTCTTGGGTTTCATAAAGAGCTGTTTGCTGACCAGTCTCATCTTGTTTCTCAGAGTCCAAATCTTAGAGAACAGTTTTCAGATGGATCACACTTTCTGTGACCCCATATCAGCAACCGAATCCTACCGCCGCCACCCCCACCCCAGCCCTGCCAGCCCCACCTCCAGCCAGTACAACCCCCCCGCTTCTTTTCCCCCCTGAGGGCGTGAAAGCACACATTTCTGAGATTTGTGCAGAAGAATGTGCCCTGACTCCTCTTCAGCTGCGTGCAGGGCGTGGAGGGCAGCCGGAACAGAGCCTCACGCCCCTTCAGCTGGGGTCCTTCCGTTTCCCACGTTTTTCTGATTCCCATTCTCCAGGCTTCACCTCCCCTTGAGGAAGACGATGGTGCAAACTGTACCCTGGTGGGAGTGGTGAACTGCTGGTGAGCTGGGCACGACAGATCCTCACACGCCACCAGCTTCTTACCATGTTCTACTGTTCAGTGGCTGAAAGAACACTGAAACATTCAGTCAACAAATAGACTATTCGTATAAGCATATTAATATGCCGTGGGGCAGGTACTGAAAAGATGATCCACACACCACCACCAAAACCCAGAGCAAAACTACCACGGCCAGTGTAAATCTCCTTTTACTTCTTACACTCAAGGACGTATATGGTTCAGTGCTTACAGTCTGCTGGGCACTGCCCTGCTGCGTCCACTGAACGATGCAGCACACCACGTCCACCCAGCAGCCTCCTTCCATACCAGGGCGCAGGAATCTGAGCTGCGTGTGCTTACTGTGTCGCTGCGGCCCCGGCGCTGGCTTCAACCTCCCCATCTCCTCTCCCTGCCTCTCCCCACCTCTCCCAGACTCTCCTGGCCTCTCCCCGCCTCTCCCCACCTCCCCCAGCCTCCCCCGGCCTCTCCCTGCCTCTCCCCACCTCCCCCAGCCTCCCCCGGCCTCTCCCTGCCTCTCCCAGCCTCTCCCCACCTCTCCCCACCTCCCCCAGCCTCTCCCGGCCTCCCAGCCTCTCCCCACCTCTCCCAGCCTCTCCCCACCTCCCCCAGCCTCTCCCGGCCTCCCAGCCTCTCCCCACCTCTCCCAGCCTCTCCCAGCCTCTCCGGGCCTCTCCCCACCTCTCCCGGCCTCTCCCAGCCTCTCCAGGCCTCTCCCGGTCTCCAGAGCCCTGCGCCATATGCATGTGCCATCCCACCCACTCCTGCTTTGTCGTCTGAATGTCATGTCTTCACTCGTAAGTTCCTCCAAGACTGCCCGAGAGGATGCTCTGTGAGTGCTCGGGGCACAGGCGTTGTCAGGAGAAAGTGTCTATGGGCCTTTGGCATGCTTGCCTTCCACAGCGTGTTCGTCCCTGAAAAACGTGTAAATCTTGCATACTACAACTGGGATGGCATAAAGATAAGTACGTTAGTTATCACAAATGAAAGCATGAATGCAGCTTACAGGCTCACTGTTTTCTTCCATCTTACAATGAGCGGATCCCTGAGGTAAGATCGCTCATACCACGTGGGATCCCCCACGCCCCTGCCCTAAGTCCCCCTTCCACCTGTGGTGGCTGGTGCCGCCCCCCAGACAGGATGAACCCCACCCTCAGCGCCGATTCTTCTGGGAGGGTAGTGGGGTCTTGCTGTGCGTACTAACAGGGAGAGAGAGCTGTCTTTCTCAAGTGGCTCTGCAAGTCGCGGTCAGATGTGGCACGCGACTCCCGGGCTCCACCACGCAGGGCCGAGGGTGGCCTCTGGCTCTGGGGCCCAGGGTCGTCCCCGGCGGAACATGGCCTTCACAGGGGAAGTCCTCACTGCATTGTTTACCATGCCTGTGGCCTAGAAAAAAAATCACTCCATCTTCAAACTTCAGTTTTTCTCATCTTCAAAATGGGGGGAATGGGTAGAAGTAATGCCGGCTTCTAGAGGGGTTGTGAAGAAAGGACACGTGAGTTTATCTGTCCACAGAGCCACCACCAGCCCAGCTCTCAGGGATTGACGCTGCTGTTCCCAGGCCTGCGGCGGGGAGCCAGAGCTGGGCTGCCAGGGCAGAGCCGGGGGCAGAGCCCAGGGAGAGCCGGGCAGAACTGGTTTTGTCAAGGGGGTGGAAAATAAATCAAAGGAGCTAAGCTAGACCTAGGGAAAGTGTACTTTTTGTTCGTTCTTTGATAGCTGTTTGTCCTGAGGCCTCTGCTCTTCCTGAGCCCAGGGGGCCAGGCGTTAGCAGCGTTGGGTGTTGTGCATGTGACCACAGCTGCTCTGTGTCAGCAGAGGAGAGCTGGAGCGCCTCACTGCACACCCGGCAGGCCGCCCTGAGCTGCAGCCGCTCCTCCCCGAGCCCGGGTCTCAGGCACATCATTAGAACGCTTTTTGTTGTTTGTTTGGGTTTTTTTAACTGTATTTTTTTGTCTTTTCTTTTTTGGTACTGGGGATCGAACCCAGGATATTGCACTTGCTAGGCAAGCGCCTCACCACTGAACTACATCCCAGCCCTCATTAGAACTCTTGGTTTAAGTAACCGAAGCCAAATCCGTATGAGTTCAAGCTCGTAAGACTTTCTTATAAACATTCCATTGTCTGCGAGGAAAGCAGAATCACAGAGCTGACCTAGGGCTGGATTCAGCCTCCGCACCGGAAGTGCATGTCTCTCCTGTCTGTTCCTCTCTCTCTCCCTTCCTGGAGATGTACTTTCCTGTTGCTTTAATTGACACAAGTGAACTGAGGCTCCCAAGTTTTGGGAATCACTACACAGCCATCAGAAGAGAGCCCGGCCTGCTTTCCCTAAGTCTGGAAACCCCAGGTTGATTGATCCAGTTTGGGTCCAGTGCCTTCCCTGGTCACCCACCAGTGATTGTAAAAGACTGAAGCTTGTTTGCCAGTGTTTCACGTCACTATAACTGCACCCCTGCCAGCGTGGGAAAACGAGGCAGGGGCAGGGATGACGGACACAGGCGCTGATGAGCTGCGTAGGACGCACGCGGCTCCCTCCCAGCCCTGTCCTGCTTGCGTCCTGGCCGCTCTCAATTCCTCCTCATTTAACCTGAGAGCCCCAGGCCCCTTCACGTGAGTTTGGCCCTTGCCCGGGACCATTCCAACACACCATGTAGAAATGGCACAGAACCACGCAGATCTCAGGAAAAGCCCAGGCCTAGCGCTTCACAGTTCTGTGGCCCACTGGCCCACCCTTCCTCATCTGTACAACGGTGGCCATGCCACCAACCGGGGTTCTCCGGAGGTGATGGGATGTGGACCGCAGCCCACACTGGTCCTTGGTCACACTGACCTCCTTCTCTTGGTTTGACCACCCATCTTTCTGAAGGGTGACAAGTGGCTTCTAGTGAGGAAGGAAGAAAGAATTGCTAGAATTTTCTATCCAGGAAGTATTTCTGCTGCTTCTGAGCAAACATTAAGTATTTAGCGAGTTGAGACCACTGGGAAAGTCACAGGGTAGAGACAGATCAATGAAGATTTGACTTGCCCTCTTTTCTCCTTTTATAACTTTTTGGTGTGACTGGGTTGTCCCTAAGCCTTACTTGATAATGTAAGGTTCATAAAGTGCCATTCGTTCAGTGAATAAACTGCGTAAGCACGCTGCTACTCGGGGCCCCTTGCAGAAGGTGGCAGGCCATACGTTTTCTGAGTTGTTTGAGAAAGCCTGGTGCTAAACTGTGCCGTACATTGTCTCCTTTCTGCCCACCATTAGCAGCCTTCACCCCATTGAGACCCAGACACAGAAGTTGCCAAGCTCCCGTGGCACACAGTGTTAGAAGGGATTTGGCTGTGAGCCTCGAACACCTGTGTAGTTCCATCTCTCAACACCTGGATTTGTGTTACAAGACTTAGACACTGCCAACAGAAGCAATCTGTGCTCAGATTTGTTTGATAAATAGCAATCTCATGGCTTCTGTCTGTCCACGCAAGCACCCAGGCACCCGGCTCGCCAACAAAGCATGAGGGTTGTGGGAATGGCCGCGTGCACACAGGGCTGAACATGAGTGATGCATTTCCTGCCACCCAGCTCACAGTATGCCCAGACACAGAGCAGTGTAACAACACAGAGAAAACAAGGCTCGGGATGGCCAGCACGTCTCAGACCAGAGAACAGTTCTGACTAGTAGAGGACAACAGGAGCGATCCAGGTTGAATCTGAAACAGGAGCTGGACACGTTGTGCTGTGTTTAGACATGCTGTGCGCCACTGCCTGGGGCTGTGTGTGTGTGCTGGTGTGGCCAGCCTGCTCTGGCGCAGGATAATTCCTTCACCCTCTGACCTGTGCACCAAGCCACAGGGACTCAGTGATCTCTGACCTGGTTGACCTGTCCCTCCAGAAGCGTTTGGTGTCGCCTGTTTGGACTTCTAGAGTTCCTACCTGTCCACTCTGGGGTGCATGGGGCTGGTTTCACTGTGAAAGCTGGCAAGCATTTCAAAGCTATGATGCTCTTAATTAACATCTGCACTGATACCTCATGACTTATTTTTTTTCCTTTTTTTATTCCCTCAGCTCCAAGGCTCCTTGAAAAGAAAGCAGGCCATCAGCCTGTCTCCTGTCAGCAAGAGGCCCAATGGCTTTGTGGACAACTCCTTCCTGGATATGAAGAGAATCTGTGTTGGGGAGAGCCTCCCTGCAGGGCAAGGCAGCCTCCACGTCAGTAACGGACCGAGTCAGCTCCTGGTGGGGGCCGCGCCCGGGAGCCAGGCACCCCTGCGAAAGGCCAGCACCCTGCCTCCACCGGCACACTCGCCCGGCAGCAGCCTGTTCAACACGGGCTTGAAGGAGGTGAAGAAGGAGCCAGGAGAGGCCCTGTCTTGCAGTAAGCACATGGATGGACAGATGGTCCAGGAGAGCGTCTTTCCTGATAGGTTCGGAGACGAGCCTGGGGAGCAGCTCATGGACCCGGAGCTGCAGGAGCTCTTCAATGAGCTGTCCAACATCTCCGTGCCACCCCTGAGCGACCTGGACCTGGAGAACATGATCAACGCCACCATTAAGCAGGATGACCCGTTTCACCTTGACCTGAGCCAGCAAAACCAGAGGAGCACGCCCAGGCCCTCCCTGTCCATGGAGAAGATAGTAATCAAAAGTGAATTCTCACCCGTCCTGACGCAGGGCCCCTCCAGCTCTCCTCAGCTGAGGCCCCCATCGGCCGGCCCGGCCTTCTCCATGGCCAGCTCTGCCCTTTCCACTTCATCCCCAACCCCGGCTGCCCCTCAGGGTCAGGCCCAGGCCCAGGCCCAGACGGCGCCCGGAGTGAGCCGGGCCCTGCCGGGCTGGCAGGAGGTGTCCCATGCCCAGCAGCTCAAGCAGATCGCAGCCAGCCGCCAGCAGCAGGCCCGGACACAGCAGCACCCACCAGCCCCGTGGCCGGCCCTGCCCTCGTCCACCGGGCCATCCCCAGCCGCGTTTGGGCAGGAGAAGATCCCCAGCCCTTCCTTTGGCCAGCAGCCGTTCAGCCCGCGAGGCTCCCCCATCCCTGGGGTAGCTGGGAGCAGCAACCAGCCAAAAGTCATGGCTAGCTACATGTACAAAGCCGGCCCTGCGGCCCCGGGGGCCCCCCTGGACGCACTGCTGCAGCAGAAGCCTCCAGAGCTCAGCCGGAGCTTCCTCAACAGCTCGCACCAAGCCTTGGAGCCCCGGCCGGGCAACACCAAGCCTCTGTTCCATTTTGGCTCAGATCAAGCAAATCAGCAGTTGCCTTCTGTGTTGCCTTCCCAGAGCAAGCCTTCACTCCTACACTACACACAGCAGCAGCTGCAGCCACAGCAGCAGAACTCACTTGTAAATCAGCAGCAGCCGCCGCCGCCAGCACCCCAGGCCAGCCATCCTCTGTCGAGCCAGCCGCTGCTGAGGTCTCCGCTGACACTTCAGCAGAAGAGCCTGCTTCAGAAGATGCAGAATCCCTCCCTCCCAGGCCTGGGCTGTCAAGTTGCACAGCCGCACCGACAGGTGAGGCTCCAACCCTGCACTCCAGGTTCCAGGGACTGATCAGAGTGGTCTGATGGTCTAGTTAGGACTGGGTGGACTCGAGGAGTGGTCCGATGGTCTGGTTAGGACTGGGTGGACTCGAGGAGTGGTCTGATGGTCTGGTTAGGACTGGGTGGACTGTGGTCCGATGCTCTGGTTAGGACTGGGTGGACTCGAGGAGTGGTCTGATCGACTGGTTAGGACTGGGTGGACTCAAGGAATGGTCTGACGCTCTGGTTAGGAGTGAGTGGACTTGGGAGTGGTCCGATGGTCTGGTTAGGACTGGGTGGACTTGAGGAGTGGTCCGATGGTCTGGTTAGGACTGGGTGGACTTGAGGAGTGGTCTGATGGTCTGGTTAGGACTGGGTGGACTCGAGGAGTGGTCTGATGGTCTGGTTAGGACTGGGTGGACTTGAAGAGTGGTCCGATGCTCTGGTTAGGACTGGGTGGACTCGAGGAGTGGTCCGATTAACTGGTTAGGACTGGGTGGACTTGAGGAGTGGTCTGATGGTCTGGTTAGGACTGGGTGGACTCGAGGAGTGGTCTGATGGTCTGGTTAGGACTGGGTGGACTTGAAGAGTGGTCCGATGCTCTGGTTAGGACTGGGTGGACTCGAGGAGTGGTCCGATTAACTGGTTAGGACTGGGTGGACTTGAGGAGTGGTCTGATGGTCTGGTTAGGCATGGGTGGACTCGAGGAGTGGTCTGATCGACTGGTTAGGACTGGGTGGACTCGAGGAGTGGTCCGATGCTCTGGTTAGGACTGGGTGGACTCGAGGAGTGGTCTGATGGTCTGGTTAGGACTGGGTGGACTTGAAGAGTGGTCCGATGCTCTGGTTAGGACTGGGTGGACTCGAGGAGTGGTCTGATCGACTGGTTAGGACTGGGTGGACTCAGAGGAGTGGTCCGATGGTCTGGTTAGGACTGGGTGGACTCGAGGAGTGGTCTGACGCTCTGGTTAGGACTGAGTGGACTTGAGGAGTGGTCCAGTGGTCTGGTTAGGACTGGGTGGACTTGAGGAGTGGTCCGATGGTCTGGTTAGGACTGGGTGGACTCAAGGAGTGGTCTGATGGTCTGGTTAGGACTGGGTGGACTCGAGGAGTGGTCTGATGGTCTCGTTAGGACTGAGTGGACTTGAGGAGTGGTCCGATGGTCTGGTTAGGACTGGGTAGACTCGAGGAGTGGTCTGATGGTCTGGTTAGGATTGAGTGGACTTGAGGAGTTGTCGGATGCTCTGGTTAGGACTGGGTGGACTCAAGGAATGGTCCGATGGTCTGGTTAGGACTGGGTGGACTCGAGGAGTGGTCTGATGGTCTGGTTAGGACTCGACGGTCTTGAGGAGTGGTCCGGTGGTCTGGTTAGGACTGGACGGTCTTGAGGAGTGGTCTGATGGTCTGGTTAGGACTGGACGGTCTTGAGGAGTGGTCTGATGGTCTGGTTAGGACTGGGTGGACTCAAGGAATGGTCCGATGGTCTGGTTAGGACTGGACGGTCTTGAGGAGTGCATATGAAGACTTTGTAGGACAGATTCACTTGGAGTACCTGAAGGCACAGGCTGAGATCTGGGATACTCAGTAGTTTTTGCTCATTAAGACTATTTAATTATTACAGAAAAATGTTGCCTTATAACTCATGTAATTGGTGCTCGTTTGTCAGTCCATCTGCTTTGTTCGGTGGTTAGGTCAGTAAGTACTTCCAGAGTCTGTTTCTCATGAGCAAAATCAGGGGTGAAAGAAGGGATTGAGAACAACTCAGATTTATCGATGATGATACTAGGGAAGAACTTTTTCTGCTCGTCACACTTGACATCAGACATAGGACTCACTGTGGGATTTGTAACTGGGCCTTTAGCCTTGGGACTGTCACTGTCCCAGCTCCTGCTGTAGATCTGTTGCTGGAGTTGTGTTCAGTTAGTTTAGTCGTGAGCTTGAGGGATTCTCACACCTGCTTCCCTTTACTGTGTCCGCTGTCCCCCACTGTCACCAATGGGAACAATGCTTTGTGTTGGATGTTGGATGTGGCATAATCAAATTGTGTGAAGATGGTTTCAAGTCATTCCTTCTGTTGTCTGGAAGAAAAATGGTATTTGATATTTTACACAATGTCTTCAGTGGCCTCATCTTGCTGATATTTTCAGGCTTGGAATGCGTTAACCTCCTGGCTACAATTTTCTTCCCTTCCTGATTTGCAGTGTCAGGAAAGGGTGAGAAACAATCCTTGGATGATCAGGACTCTCGAGGGCTCTGTGCAGAAGGAGTGGTCTTATTCGGAGCTATAGAATCAGTCACTTATAAAGTGTGCATTTTTTATCATGTTGGATCTAGGCTTAAGTGGATTCTATATTTGGTTTAGAATCCTCCCATGTCTCAAACTTCTGGGAGGGCAGGCAGCCAGTGAATGGATGGTTTGTTGTGACTGAAACATATATTTATACATTTCCTGCTTAGTTTAAAGCCAAGATCCTCAACCTGTGTTATAACCTCAACCCACTCTCTCTACCTACCCATGCATGTTCATTGCTGTTCCATATCAATCCTTGGTGTGAACTGAGAAGTATCTGTCGACTTTAAAGGAGGGTTTTATGCATCTCTGGTCTTCAGATAAACAATCAGGAAATTGCTTCCAAGTGGCTGGGTGTTGTTGGAAAAAAATCTCACATGCGGCCATTACTTTTTTTTTTTTTTTGTCGGTCATGGGTCTTGAACTCTGGGCCTGGGCACCGTCCCTCGGCTCTTCAGCTCAAGGTGAGCACTCTACCACTTGAGCCACAGCACCACCTCCGGTTTTCTGGAGATAAGAGTTTATTGGAGATAAGAGTCTCACTGACTTTGCTACTGGGCTGGCTCTGAACAGCGTTCCTCAGATCTCAGCCTCCTGAGTAGCTAGGATGACAGGAGTGAGCCACCGGTGCTCAGCTCTTCTAATTTTTTATTATTACTCAATGAAAGAAATTACAAGCAAGATTGCATTAGCTAAAACGCCTTCTCCAAGAGGAACGTGGTAGTGAATTCAGTGTTCTACAGTCACCTAACACACAAGCCCTGCTCTTACTGAGGGTTGTTCACATAGGACAATGCCAGGGTTTGAGTTTAGAGACTAGACTGAGGGAAGAAGAAATTGGGAGCATAGAGGACCAAAGTCATAAGGAAGCAGGGAAACAGTTAATCAGAACCTAGGAATGAGACCAAAGAACAGCAACAAGCCCTGGGTCAAAGGTGACATATTGACATGGGGTCTGGGGTGGAGGGATGGCGCAATGAGTCAGAAGAGACCCAAAGACCACTCTGAATGCCTCTCCACCCATCATGGCTCACTTTGGCTGGGTACTACTAGGGAGGGAGAAGAGGTGAAGGCAGGCGGATCACAGGTGGTCAATGACAGATCGGGACAATTATGTGGACATGTTCATTGTGCCTTAGATGTTTAATGCTCTATCTTCTAAGTTTACAAAGGAAAGAAAAATCCGGGTTAAGCACTCTACTCGCCTGGCCAAAGCTTAGATCAGGTGCAGAGTGGGTTTCCAGCTCTGTGTGTGCATGTAATTAGGCTGAGAGGTTCTATGGGGGGGTTTTAAGGGCAACATGATGTAGCCCAGGCTTACCTCAAATTCCTACTCCTCTTCTCCCTCACTTGTCATTATAACTGTACACCATCATACCCACTTTAGCACTGAAGAATCTTAGTTGGAAAAAGTATCAGGAGGGAATTTGTATGGTTTGTTGCTTTGTTAATTAAAAAAACAAACAACTCTATGTCATATACAAATAACCCAAATGGATATGTTACCAGCTGATATACTTTTTACAGGTAAGGGTACTGGGGTTCAGAAAGGTCAAATCACTTGTTCCAAAACATTAATAATTAAAGACTACCCTTCCCAAGCAGAGGCAGCAGGTAGAGTGTTTGCATGTGGTGCCAGGGCCTTTTCTGTGATAGCTTGAAGTTTGCTGTTCTCCACACTCCTAGCAGAAATCACAGCCAGAGGTGAAACTCAGATCAGCTCAGATATGGGGGGGAGAAGCCTCGTCCGAACCCAGGGGTGCACAGAAGCAAAGATCCCAGGTTCTGTCACATTCTGCTTCGTTCTGAACTGGCATTGGTTTCTATGTGTTCACTCAAAAAAGATTGCGGGATGCTCGCGAGGTGCCCGGCACGGTTCCGGGTATAGTGCTCCAGTTGTGGTTTGTCTGCAGGAAAGGGGAATATCCATTCTTCTAAAAACTAAAAATGATGACTCAGAGGTTTGCAGATCCGCTGTCTTCCTCACCGCGCAGGCTTGCTCTGCTTCTGTCACTAGGTTGATTTTCTACTTGTGCTTTGGTATCTCTGATCCTAGATAAGAGTAGGAGGCAAAAAAGGAAGTGGGTATGTGTAATTTTTTAATACAATGTTTTTAGGGCTGTCCTTGGGTTTTGTAAATGATAAATAAAACTTGTTCACTCTTCAATGCCATCCCTTGGGATGTAAGAACCTCTGGAGTCAGTTTCACAGTAGGGAGAAACTGTAACTCTTTCATTCATGCATTCATTCACGTGATAGACAGGTATCAATCACCACGGTGGGACTGGGGATTAAAGATCAATGATCTGGTTTCATACCCTCAGTCTGAAAGGCAGGGAAGGCCTGGTCTTTCCCTCAAGAGACTTTGATCTAGAAGTGGCAAGTGCCCATGTCCTTAGCACCCTATTAGATACATCCACCCGATAATCACATCGTCCCGATAATCACAATCTACTCTGCGTACCAAGCAAACATTACAAGGGCAGTTCTCTTAAGTCAGCAAGTTCAACTTTAAGCATACTATTTTAAAACTTTTACAGGGTATAACTTTTGTTTACTAGAGATTTCACTTTCCATCCTATTGTGTTGTTCTAACATATAATAGCTGGTTGCACAATGGAATAAGTTGGTATACGGCAACAATAATGCCTGTATCCTTCAATAAAGAAATAGACATAGCAATAAGAAGTATATTCTACCCTT